AATGAAATGCTGTTTGCACGGTTTGGACTTACCATAAGTACCCCTCACGACTGCAAACCCTGAAAGGTAGCATCTCATTCAAGGTCTTTCAATTTATGCGGTAGGAGGCTGCTACTAGGAGCAAAGGGCATCGCTACTAGGAGCAAGAACGCTACTAGGGGATCCTGGCCTTTCTACTAGGAACAAGGACACTAAACCACGGGTAGTACCGGGAAAGTGCGCGTCCTTTACACCATTAACAGTTTGCATCCTCAACACGGTGTGCACCATCGTCCTCAAGGCTCCCAGAGTACCATTGGAACGATGGCAGAAACTCATGGCAGGACGGCCCTTTTGAAGCAAACTCGTTCGTGATTGTCCAAAACAAACCGTTCCTAGTAGCGTCCTTGCTCTTAGTAGCGAGGCCAGGAGCCCCTAGTAGCTTCTTGCTCCTCGTAGCGATGCCCTTTGCTCCTAGTAACTTCTTGTTACTAGAAAAATCTATTGTGGCCTCCACCTAGTAGCTTCTAGAGATTTCTAGAGCATTGTTTGCCGGTGTTGGAAACAAATTTGTCCTGTTTCAAGAAAACAAACACAACAAAATGCAATTGTCATATATTGCCATCACTTTTCGCAACCCCATGTTACGGCGCAATGTTCATGCGTTTGATGCTGAAACGGCGCTCCTGTTTTTGTATTTGTGCACCGCCCCGCCCCCCCTCCAAACCAAGCAAATGGGTTCCACCGCTGTGGTTCATGATGGATAAGACGTGCGAAGGTGTATCCTATTAGCGGTGGCCTCCAACCATCTCCAACCTAGTAGCGTCCTTGCTCCTAGTAGCGATGTCCTTTCTTCCTTAGTAAGGCCAGGAGCCCCTAGTAGCGTCCTTGCTCCTATCAGCGATGGCCTCCAGGTAGTTGGATTTGAAAATCCCGCGAAGTGGTTCAGCTCAGTGGACAAGAAACAATTGAGAGTCCCAGTGTTCATCTCACTGCAGTCTTCTTTGTCGTCTCTCCGAGGCTTCTTAGAGTCTTGAAGTGACCTGGCAAAATGAAGAAGGATTCCGAGTGAGGCCTTTCAAGAACAAACTCAAGGTATCCCCCTGAGGGCTACTTTTCGTGATCTCCGCCTTTCATTTGATCAGGGTATGTGAAAAGGCCCGCCTCTGCAACTGTGTCTAGGTATGCGTTGGACCAATTTTCAATTGTCTCACGGTACCTCATTGCCATTCATTGCCCACAAATCTGGACTTCGGACATCTTCTGACAATTCAGCCATTAGGTTGGAGGCCACTGCTGGTGGGAGCAAGGATGCTACTAGGGGCTCCTGGCATCACTACTGGGAACAAGAAGCTACTAGTAACCTAGTAGCTCCTGGCCTCACTACTAGGAGCAAGGACGCTATTAGCTTGGAGGCCATTGCAGGTAGCTTTAAGCAATTTGTATGGCGTTCTGCTCGTTGGGGCACTTCTCCTCGGTATCCGGGTTGAACCTGAAGTGCCAAACTCCCTCCGCATCGAACATGTTTTGCATGAAAGGCCGGCCAAGCTGAATCTTGAAGCAAGCAAAACTTGGGCTGAGGCTGGGTGGCCGTATGCTGCAGTCTTGGACGCTACTAGGGGCTCCTGGCATCGCTACTAGGAGCAAGGACGCTACTAGGAGCAAAGGGCATTTCTACTAGGAACAAGAAGCTACTAGTAACAAAGGAAAACAAAGAAACTACTTTCCTCAATGTTCCGAGCAAAAAAAACATGTTGGAGGCCATTGCTCTACATTGGAGGCCATCGCTAAACAAAAGCTTGTGCACATTGCTGTGCATTGCTCAGGATGAAAAGGGTTCTTGAAACCAGTTTCCCACCTTGTAGTTCATTGGCTCTTGTGCCTGCTCTGCCTGTGATGCCACCTGCTCAGCAAATCGGGAATCCAGCTGAGTTTGACTTGCTCCACGTTCATACGCAGCCATTTTCCAAGTCCCTTGCAAACAGGCATCGGCGGGCCATCTTAAGACTGATGTGCCGACTTCTATGACTCTGACAGTCTGACCCAGTTGCTTGTTGAACTTGTAGGTTTTGGGTCTCAATCTGAAGCTGCAGCATTCTTGACAGGAAACTCCACAAGTCCTTACATGACTCATAATGGGGAGGTACCAAAGTCTCAGAATCAAGCAGCCAACTCCCGTGTTGGGAAAAGCACGATGCCTCAGCCTCGTGGGCTTTGAGCCCGAAGCCAGAAGCACTGCTTCCAACCTAGTAGCGATGGCCTCCAACCTAATAGTGGCTTAATAGCGATCGCCTCCAGGCCATTAGTGTTTGTTATGATCTGTGTGCGCGTGAGTACGGCTGGTTTATGTCCACGTTACAACCCTCAGGCCATTGCCGTTTGGTATTGCGACAGCCTGTATTCGGTTGGCATATGTCCACGCGCCAACCTTCAGGCCATTAGTGCTTGTTATGATCTGTATACTTGAGGCCGAGGGTAGGTGACGAAAGCTAGCAGGGGTGCATCCGGACTGGTGGGACATCAAGCGGAGTGAGGCAAATGCTCATGAGGTAAAACGTTGTGAACATGTAAGACACACAAACAGCAATGACACAGCCAACCTTAGAATTGAAGTCCCCGATAATTAAGGAAGCGTGGCTGGACTTTGCCACACTGTTCGATGCATCCGATGTGTTCACGAACCTGTGAGCTTGTTGAATCTGTTGCACTGTATCCCAAAACCTCCACGGAGGAGTTGAACCAGTGTGGATGCCATAAGAGGTGCCCAAGAGGTGTCCCAGAGGCAAAACAAAGCTGCTTGCATGATTTGTTTGGTTTCTTCTATCGATGTCGATGTCATGAACATGTGAGCTTGTTGAATCTGCTGTTGGATCGTCATGTATATGTAATGAGGGACTGAAGAAAAGCAACGCAGCATCATGAGCATCACGGGAAGTCACAAACCAGGCGTATCAGATACACCTGGTTTATGTATGTTTGTTTGAGCATCTTTGTCGAGTGAAGTGTCAGCCATATGCACTGAGATGCCGAAGGAAGCTCAAAGGCACGTGTATCTGATACGCCTGGTTTCTGACTTCCCGTGATGCTCATCATTGAAGCCTTGAACCCTCGCGTAAATTTCGTGTTTCATGCCCCCCCTTCCAAACTCAAACAGTGGCCTACTTCACCTGCCACCTAAACATAGCACTATAGCACGTTCCGGAAGCGTCCCAGGGGGAGTTGAACCCGCGGGGGGGGGGCCCCGCTACACGTGAAGTTTTCACGTGATTCATGATTCTCGAGGCTGCGAGCCCTTGACTTGCTAAAGCAAGAGCAACTCCAGCTAGCTGATGCTAGCTTTCGTGACATGTGTACGGCTGGTATATGTCCACGTTACAACCCTCAGACTATTGCCGTTTGGTATTGCGACTGCCTGTATTCGGTTGGTATGCATCCACGCGCCAACCTTCAGGCCATTAGTGTTTGTTACGATCTGTATACGTGTGAACGGCTGGTATATGTCCACGTTACAACCCTCAGGCCATTGCCATTTGGTATTGTGACTATCTGTATTCGGTTGGAATATGTCCACGCGCCAACCTTCAGGCCATCAGTGTTTGTTATGATCTGTATACATGTGTACGGCTGGTATATGTCCACGTTACAACCCTCAGGCCATTGCCGCTTGGTATTGTGACTGCGTGTAGTATTCGGTTCATATGTGTCCACGCGCCAACCTTCGGGCCATTAGTGTCTGCTATGATCTGTATACGCTGGGTATGTCCACGTTACAACCCTCAGGCCATTGTCGTTTGGTATTGTGACTGCCTGTGTTCGGTATATGTCCACGTGCCAACCTTCAGGCCATTAGTGCTTGTTATGATCTGTATACCTGTTTACGGCTGGTATATGTCCACGTTACAACCCTGAGGCCGGTGCCTTTCGGTATTGTGACTGTCTGTATTCGGTTGGAATATGTCCACGCGCCAACCTTCAGGCCATTGGTGTTTGTTACGATCTGTATACGTGTGAACGGCTGGTATATGTCCACACTACAACCCCCAGGCCATTGCCGTTTGGTATTGCGACTGCCTGTATTCGGTTGGTATATGTCCACGTGCCAACCTTCACTTGCTGTTGTATAGCACTTGTGCGCTTGTGTTTTTGTTGTTCTTGGTTGTTTGCGTTGTTGTTTTTGTTGTTGTTGGTGGTGATGGTGCTGTTGCTGCTGCTGGTGTTTGTGGTTGTATTTTTGTTGTTGTGGTTGTGGTTGTGTTTTTGTTGTTGTGGTTGTTGTTGTCGTTGTTGTCTCATTGTTGTTGTCGTCGTCGCCGTCGTCGTGGTGGTTGTCGTTGTTGTCGTCGTTGTGGTTGTGGTTGTGGTTGTGGTTGTGGTTGCGGTTGTGGTTGTGGTTGTTGTTGTTGTTGTTGAGCTTTTCCTAGCCAAGAGCCCTTGGGATGGCTCTGCGTTTTCGGCCCCGTGGCTCTCGTGGATGGGCCGCGCTGATCTAGCGCCTTCCTGCAGACGCTGCCGCCCGGTTGCGCTGCTTTGGATGCAGCGGATCTGGTTTTGGACCTGGCCGTGGATCTGGCTTTCCATTGGAGACCTTGGCCTTTTTGAACGCGGCTGGTCCTTTCGAACAAACGCTAGCCTTTTTGTACCCCATATCTTAGCTAGGTCGTGGTCCCAATTCCACGGCAAGTGTGTGTACATGCCGAGTAACCTTCACCACAATGCACACTTGAAAAGCGAGGGTTGTGACACTACCATGGGTGTCACGGGAGTAGCACCGGTACACGTTGCACGCTCCGTTCATGACAGCGCTACGAAAGAACATGGAACCACACCCAATAGGCGAGATTTCCCTCAAATCTCAAACCACAAGCGTAGTTTCAAACGTGCGGTTCGACGGGCTAGCCAAGATGGCTATGCCTGGTTTCGCGGTAAGCTGTTCGATGCAAAGGCACTAGGAGTGACGGTCTTGCCACGGTCTGTCCGTGTCCCAGCCATTCTTCCCTGTTCATCCCATCAACCACGCCGTGACTTGAGGAACCGGATCCACCTTTTCTCATGGAATTGCAGTGGCCTGGGACGAACTCAGCTGGAGGAGTTGCTGCTTTGGGCAAGATCACAACCCTTTCAGATTCTCGCATTGCAAGAGATTCGTTGGCAAGGAGTGAAAGAGTGGATGGATGAATCCTGGTACTTTGTGGCCATAGGTGGTACACCCCGTAAGGCTACGGGGGTACTTGTTGCGATTCGAAGAACTCTTTGCCATATTCATCAACTAGCTTGGCATAGTGTCTGGGATGGACGCATTCTGCATGTACGGATTCACTTGGCGAGACCTCTTGATCTGTTGATTGTTTATCAAAAAACTTTTCAAGCCTCTCCACCAGATCTCAAGATTCGAGCCGATGTGTTCATGCACTTGATACATGCCTCACTTCCCTGCCCACTCGTAACAACCTCCTCATTGCCGGTGACTTTAATACTAGCCTTCACAAAGATCTCCCACATGTTGGATACTCCACCTTTGTTAGTACTCAGGGTCTGTCCACTCAGGGTTCTCTCCAGTCAGATCAGCCTTTGCTTCAATCCCTTCTGAAGCAACATGGGTTATGTGCCATTAACACGATGCAGCCGGGCTTGCCTGCCACATTCGTGGGATGTAAAGGTCAGGGATCCCGCATCGACTATGTCCTCACTCGTCTCAAGCAGACGGATCATGAGGCCAGACAATGTGCACCCATCCCAAGCTGTCCCCTAGTGGGACTCACTCCTCAGGGGCATTGTCCCCTTGGTGTGCTCGGTCTCCTTGACTTGGAAACCGTGGACAGGTTCAGCCCTCAGTACGATCAGCTTTGACCACCGGAATCGTGGGCGCCTTGAAAGGTCACGACACACTGACCGTTGGCATGAATTTGTTTCGAGAACCACTCATCACCTTCAACAGGCCAATTGGCCCAGTCATGGAGATTTTCAACATATTCACCGTGCTTGGACTGTTGACCTGCAGAACTCCTTTTCGGAGCCGCCGCCATGAGCGCGCGGTCGGTGTATACAACGATATATATATATATATGTAAATATATATACACATATATATCAAAGGCTGAAAAAAAATAGGGGGGGGAACTTCCTGTACCTCAGCCGATCGAAAAATATTCAAAATATATATACGTGTTGCAGAAAATTATAGCCTAAGCATCAAGAAACAACGAAAAGTGCATACAGTCCACGCTGAAAACATACACAGATTTGCTCGTTTTGTACATAAACATACATTTTCCCAAAAGTTTGATTTTGGAAAGTGTTTTAGCTATCTGGAAGTTATCTCGAAGTTATTTTCATTGTTTTTTAAAAAAATAACTTCAAAATAATTTATACAAGTGCAAGTTAACTTCAATAGAGCCCGGGTCTCACCTTGTAACGGTGCAAACCGATATGCGACTTGAACTGCTTGTGCTTTCGCTCCATCGCAAAACAGTCGACGTAAAATCCGGTTTGTTTCAACTGCTCAGCCGCGTGAAACCGTTGGTGATGTTTCGGTTTCACAAAGCTCTCAGAATAAACTTCTACAATCAAAGACTGATGTGCGACTTGTAGTTCTTGTAGTCGCTCAGTAGCAAGAGGTGCAGAACTCGTAGCAATGCTCCGTAACTCAATGCTGATGCGTCGCAACGCATTGAAACTTTCCATTTCCTTCACAAGCAACCCTCTGGAGTCAAGAACTCTTGACAAGAAGTAGTGAAACAGTGGGAAAAACAGTGTTAAGTTCGAAGCGGACCCTTTGTACACGGCACCCTCAAAGTTAAAGGCGCCACCAAGCCGCTTTCGAAAAGATGGCGAGCAACCTTGCACGGAAGTGCGCCACTCCAAGGACAAGAACTGCTCTAGATCGCCAATTCCGGTCTCACTCCATTTGGCGTGAAGCGCGTTCACTTCACAAGAAATGATCCCGCAACTCCAATACAAATGCATAAAGTCGAGAAGAAAGGCGCTCGGTGGCAGAGCATCACGCGCCAAAGGGTCGCTCAACAAACTCTCAGGATCCCGCTTGCGGCTCCATGGGGGTGACAGGCGGCTGCGCGTCAGCACCCTCTACAACCATGGA